CAAAATAGGAAGCAGAATGCCTTCCCGCCCTTCTCCGAGGGTTGCTCTGCAGGTCACCAGAGAGCTTGGCTGTGATTAAACCTTGCAAAGTGAGAGATACTCCAAAACATCACGTCTGGGTCTATTTGGAGTAAGTCTAATGAAGCCACTCTGACAACAAACAACAGCCCGAGTGACACTGCACTGGGGGTGTCACCCAAGCACTGGGCTGTTTCCACACAGAACTGCAGCTGCAGGAGGCAGGAGCCTTGCCTGCTCACCAGTGCCTGGCACACAGTAGGTGCTTTGTGCATGTCTTCAAATGAATGAAGAGTCTATCTCAGTCCATCTGCACGACTGCCCGATCAGCCCAAGGTACAGACAAGGACACAGAGGCCCAACGAAGTGAAATTACAGGAGGGAGGCCGGGCAGCTACACACACGGTCTCTGAGGTGGGCGTTCTGGGTGAGAATCTTAGCTTCTCCATTGAGAAGTTGCCTCTTCCTAGGTTTTTCTAGGCTATAGTTTCCTCATTGTAAAAGGGGGTATTAGTGGAAGCCCTTGAAGGGCTACTAGGAGAAATAAATCAGATGACACATGCACAGAATTCAGCCTAGCACCTGGCGCATTAGTTATTGCTGTTACCAGGGTCTCACAGGGAGACAAGGTCAAGACCTTTCGAGTATCCAGATCTGCCTCAAAGTCTTCATCACTGCCCTCCATTGCCTCTTCTTGTAGACAGATGTCATGAGACCCTCTTTTATGGACCCCAAGTTCTGCTTTTTTCCTTCTTGTTTTTTTTGGGGCATCTGGGCAGATTTTTATTGGCAACGAGTTTGTGGCGACCGTTAGCCCCAGCTAGATTCTGGAGGAGGAGAAACAGAGCCTGCCCTGCTCCTGGGTCCAGCTTCCGTCTCGATCAGCCCTGTCCTGACTCCCTCCCAGTTACATGGCGATATGCTTCCTATTTTGTAAACAGGGTGTCGCCAAACCTTGGGGCCGCCAACCTGCCATTCATTCCATGCTCTGGCTCTCAGAGTAAGCTTCTGCGGCACAAGCGATGATTCATACCAGCTCCCCTTCCTCCCAATTGGGCTACCTGCCCAAGTCATTTCACCTCTCTGAGCCTCAGTTTTTCCATCTGAAAAATAGTGATAATAATTGTATCCTCAAAAAACTATTCTGTGGATCAAGTGGGGAAAAACTGTGTAAAATATGTGACAGGGCCTGGCACATAGTGTCCCCCTCCCTCTGTCATCATCCATCTCAATTTGGTGAACTCCTACTCATCCTTCAAAGCCCAGCTCAAATGTCCCTTTATTTATAAAGCCCTCTCAGACACCAAGACAATACTGTCTGGTCCTTCTTCTGTGGTCCTACTACCCATTGTATCTGCTTCCATCACCCTTAGAGGTGATGTTAAAAATATTCAACGATAATTGGTTGGGTGTGGATACTCCTTCCACAGGTCGCTGGCCTTGGTACTGAAGGGCTGTCCAGTATAACTCTTTGTTGCTGGACTGTAAGGGGTCCAGAAAGCACCAGAGGAGAAAGGAGATGGCTTTGTTGAGTGGGGGTGGGGGAGAGGGCAGGTGGCAGTGGGGGGTGGAGATGGTGATGACAGGGTCTATTTAGCAACCGGTGTGCAAGTATTTGAATATTTTAACAATCGAGGAGGTGCTCACCGACTCGGTCTCGCCCTAATTGCAACACTTATCTCACTGTGTCGCAGCATTCTGTTGACTACTAGCCTGTGAGCTCTGGAGTTCAAGGGGAGGGTTCTATTCATGTCTCTGTCTCTCTAAGGCCTGGACGAGATGGTCGAGTGGAGATCAGGAGCGTGAATGAGGCTGTGAAGGGTCCCTGAATTGTTTCCTTGGGAGCCTCCATTTGGATTTGAGCTCAGGCCCAGCAAGAGGGCTTCAGGTTATCTTTAGCTCACCAAGTAGGATTGCAATGAGACAGGACCCCGGATTTGCATATTCATATATGCAAATATGCCCCTTGATGTGATACACCACCCTTGATTTTTCAAAGAGCTGTGCATATGAAATGCCTGCAATGGAGTGGGGCAGGAACCGTGGCACAGGAGACCCCCACCTCCTGTCCTGGAATTCTGTCTCCATCCCCGACTCCGGCCTTCACTTCCTGCTTCCTTCGGCTCACTCCCGCTCACCTTTGGCTTCCCAGTTAGTTAGCCTTCTCTGCCCTAAATAACCCCCGAGTCCTGTGCCAGCCGCTCGCCTTCGAGCCGCCTCAGCATCCCTGCACTCACTGCTGTGGATTGTCCTACACAGTGTCTACCCGTCTGCCGCCGCCCACGAGGCACAGACTGCTCCTCACCCACTGGATCCCCAGACAAGGTCAGAGCTGACCCTTCATAGATGCTCAGTGGGTAACTGGTCGATGGGAATGGATGACTGAACGGGTGATCAATGACAGTGGCGTGCTGTTCTCTTTAACAGGGAGCTCAGGAAAAATGTGGGGCCAGGACTTGGAAAACCTCTGGTCCCACCTGGCACCTTGTCTCATCTCTGCCTTTGCAGAAGAGAAGAGGAGAGAGGGTCTGGCCTGGAGGGCACTCAGGGCCAGAACTGGGGGGCATCCGATGTGCCCACAAGTCAGGCAACCACGAGGGGGTGGGCCCAGCCACACGGGCTGCAGCCGCCCTCCAGGGCGAAAGGAAACTGAAGGCAGTGGGGAGCAGGGCCTGGCTCTAAGTCCCCCTCGTCCGCTGTCTAGTCGGCCAGAACCACACTACCCTGTGTCACTATCACCACCATGGCTGCTACCACTCCTGCTTCCCCTGCTACATCATTAGCATCGACCAGAACAGCATGTGCATTGCCTGCTGCAGCCTAAGATGTTTACTTGCACGGGCTCACTGAACCCGCACACGGGCCTGTGAGGAGGGAGGTCACATTAGTATCTGAGTTTGCAGATTTAGAGGAAACAGAGGCACAGCCAGTTCATGGGACCTGCTGAAGGTGCCCAGTGGGAGGGGCAGAGCCGGCACCGGGACGCTGTTGTCATGACACCCGCTAACACAGCTGGGTCTGCCCTGTGCCACGCACTGGGAGCTTTGCTTTGCTTTTGGTTCACCTCGTTGCTTTGCTTTTGTCCTAACAACAAGGCTTCTGAAGAAGAGCCTTGTCTTCATTTTTTAACAGATGAGGAAACTGTGGCTCCAAAGGCTGCAGTACCGATGCTGAGTGTGGAGCCAGCCTTGGACCACACCTCGTGACCGTGTGCGCCAACAGCTCCCACTTGCCATGGCGCGTGGAGGTCACTGGCCTTCTGTGCGGCTTTCTCTTCCTGGAATCGGGAGTTGTCGGGCGAGCTCTCAAGGTCCCTGCCTTCTACCCAGGGATGAGCTTGCAGCTCTTCTGAGAAGGCTGGGCCCACGGGGACATCACGGCTCCAAGAGCCGACAGCGATCTTGTCCCACAGCGGCTGTGGGGGGACCACTCTCCCCCCGACTTCCGGACAGACCTGCGCTGTCAGGAACCCGTCCCAGGCAGGTGACGACACAGCCAGCTGCTCCCAGGGGCACTTTTTCATGAGGGTCCTGGGGGCCACCGAATGGGTTGCCACAAATGCCATGGCCGGGGAGACTGGGTGGCTTCACTGACTCAGAAGCATTCTTACTGCTTGGATTTTAAACGTATCTCCACCTTTGCACCAATTCCCCCGGGGAGACCATCTCCTCATTTTGCAGGTGAGGAAGCCGAGGCTGGGAGGGATAAAAGGAATTGTCGAGCCAAGCCTGGAACCGGACTCCAAACCTCTGCACACAGGGGCCTCAGAGGCACTCGGGGCGGGCAGGCTGCAGGTGCCAGCACCCAGCACACAGGCACGTCTCGGGGAGGCTGGGAGGTGTGGCGGTTCCAGCAACGGGGGGAATTGGGCAGGTTGAACCTCGGTGGTTCAGGGCGCCTTGGCTGGTAACGGAGGGTCTAGAATGCACGACGGAGCCAACCAGTGTGTCAATCAGACCCAACGAGGCTTGTCATCACCTTCTCTTCCCTGACCTCCCAGCAAGCACCTCTTTCCCCGTCTTCCTCCGCATCCTTCCTAAGGGAGCAGCAGCCTGAAATCACCCGTTTGCTCATGGCCAGACAGAGGGGTCCCTCCTACCGGCAGTCACACCTGCAGACTCCCTCGGGGTCTGTCTGTCCTTAGCATCTACAACAGGCCGTCATATACTTTATGTTTTGTATATCCCCAACCACCCCTCTGGAAATGTTTACCGATGAGAAAACTGAGTTTCAATGAGGCTAAGTGACCTTCCCAAAGCGGCACAGCCAGGAAGTGGCAACGCTGGGACCCGTGTCCACCTCATCTCCACCCCCTTGCCCAGGGGCTTCGTGGGTCGGCCGCCTGGAGTCACAGTTGGAGGAGGGCGTGTGGCCCAGGACCACTTGCTCTGCTCTGTGGTCTGTACCCAGACCTCAACCTCTCGGAGCCGTTTTGCCTTTTTTTTTGGTCCCAGCTGTGGAAGGGACTAGGGAGAGGAGCTATGCCCGCCCCGCCCCGCCCTTCCCCCCGCCCCCAGACCTCTGCAGACCGCGAGAGGATGCAGGGCCATGCATGCAGGGCTGTGTTCACACAGTGAAGCCACGTCCCGGCGGCAGTCAACGCCGGGGTCTGGCTGCGTCAGAGACGTGGACTTCATTGATCAGCTGGGGTGCTTCCTGTCCCTTCCTCCCCCAGGAGGCTCCCCCAGTGCCTCACACCTGCGTTCCCGGAGATGTCACTCTGGAGACTGTCACTATGTATGTTTCAACATCCCCGGGGATTTCCATTTGTCTACCACCCAGCCCAGCCCCAGTCCCCAAGCCGAGTGCTGCCAAAGGCTGGCGAACGAGCATTGGGTTGATCTACAACGAGGTCTGAAACCAGGGGGGTAGCTGCCCGGAACTGAATTAACGTGTGGTATACACTGCCCTCAACTTGTCCCCCCCGCACCCCCCCAGGTGTCATGGCCAAGACTGGCCGAGGAGCCGTGCAGAATACTTACTACACCCCTGGCCGACAGGAGGCTGAGCATCTGGAGGGGCTGGCTAGGCGGGTGGCTGGACCGGGCCTGGGGGCTGGCCTTGCCGAGGGTCTTGGAGCAGCGGCGGGAGTGCCTGTGGCGAGACTTCCGCCCTTCCTCGGGGGACCGGCCGCGGTGCCTGGGGTCAGGGAGAGAGACCTGAGGGTCTGTCCAAGGGGAGCTTGGCAGAGAGGAGGCTGAGGGTCCCATAGGATCTGAGGACTAGAGTGTGTGTTTGTATAAACTCCACGCGCATCCATCCACCCACCCACCCACCTGCCCATTCATTCATTCTCTCATTGCCTCACTTGTTCATTTAACAAATGTTTATTTACGCACCTGGCACCGTTTTAGGGGCCGGGTTCAGCTATGAAGACAGGAAAGGTCCCTACCCTGATTCAGTTTAGTGTCCTTCGCACATCTGAGAGGTATCTGTGTGCCGTGCCTGGAGGTGACTGTGTGTGTGTCTGGGCCTGTCCGTCTGTGTTTTCATGTTTGTCTATAAATATAACCGCAGATTTCTGTGTGTCTTTGTGTATGTGACTTCGCCATCTGTGAAACAGGCATCTTACTGACACCCAAAACGCTTGGGGAAAATGTAGCTGACAAAAGTGACAAAGCTGCCTCCTGCAAGCCTGTCAGGCCGAGGTCTGGCTACCCTGCCCGGCGTCCCACCCAGAGGCACCTCTGACTCAGAAAGGGCCCTCGTTTAGGTTCCTCACGCTCGGCACCTCGCTCACTCGCCCAGGGAAACGGAAAATTCTCCCTCCTCGCCCCGCCCTCATCCGAACTGAATCTCACCGTATGCAGGGTGGGATCCAGGCACTGGTATTTTAAAAAACTTCCAAGGTGATGGCAAAGGGCAGCCAAAGTGAAGAAGGCCTGGGCTAGCCCGCGGCCTCCTTGGGATGATTGAGAGAGAAAAGGTACGTGAAAGGGTAGCTCAGTGCCAGACCCCATGGGCTTGGAGAGGCATTTCCCCTCCTCCTTGCTCCAGAGCTTCTGAGCGGACTGGGATGCAGCGGGACCAGGACAGTGAGATTTAAAGACCTCCCCGGTGACGTGAACACGTAGCCATGTGGGAGAAGCATTTAAGAAAAAATAAAGTGGTCGCCGGCATCCGGAAGCTGGCCTGGTGCTCAGGTGGCCTTGGTGTTCCCACTGCACGTCAGCAGTTTCAATCACTGGCACCCACAAAGCCACTCCTTCTTCTGTTCTCCTCAGGCCGGGGCAGCAGCGCGTCAGCACAGGAAGGGCCTCAGAACGAGGCACTTTGTGCTGTGTGACCTTTCATAGGTTGCTTAACATCTCTGTGCTTAGAGCAACCCTTAGCGGGAGCGCAAAGTCCAGAGCCAGACGCCCCAGTTCAATCTTCGTCTGTCACTCAGTCGCTAAGTGAGGAGCAAGTTCCTAACCTCTCTGAGCCTCAGTGTCCTCATCTCTACAATGGGGATCACCAAGCACCTATTGCCTAAGGTGGTGGAGGAGCCCCTGTAGCTGAGAGTGGGAGAGCCTGCGCTCCCCAGTGTGGTCACAGGTACCAAGGAGGCATGTGTGTTGGTTAGTGGTGATGGTGGTCCCTGGAGTGCAGGCAGCGACTCTCCAGGGAAGTGATGACAGTGCCGGGGGTGGGGAGTGGGGAAGGGGGCATCCCTCTGCTGGGACAGTGGCATGGGAGGCAAAGCTGATGTAACAGAAACTGGGCTCTGGGCAGCGGCTGGGTGAGGGGCCCTTTGGGGCGACGGGCTACCTGCTCTCGCAGCTGGAGGACCGGGACTCCGAGCTCTGGGATCGCGAGAGCCTGTGGTGGTGGCGGTGGCGGTGAGACTTTCGGGGCCGGCTTCGCGATCTTGAGGTTGTTTTTGGGGGGGGGGGAGGAAAGAGAGAGAGAGAAAAAGAGATTGAGATTGAGTGATTGACCTTCTGATTGGACAGGGATGCAGTCTGATCGGACTCGTGTGACAAACCTTGTCCTCTGCCAGTGTCCCTGCCAAAGTTAAGCATCTCCCTCCACCTCACCCCATCACCCTTGCTCCCCACGGGGCACCTGGGGTCTCTAATCAGCCCTACTGGACACAAGTGAGCAGGAAGGGGGCTCTGGAGGAGCCGCCTGCGGACCCAGCCTCCCCTGCAGGAAGCAGGCTGCCAACCACACCCTGGACAGGAGCGACCCCACCTGTCCCCTCTCCCTCACCTAAGGCTGGAGTCGCTCAGCAGCCCCACGCGCCAGGCAGGCACCACGGTGTCAGCCCAGGGCCTGGGCTGCAGGAGGAGCCTTTGTCCACAATAATGGTGTGGTGCTGGGTCTGTTAATTTCTCAAGTGAATATAGAACT